CTGTTTTGATAAAGATCGGTCAATATTTAGCGGGTCAAATGGACCCTGACTTTTGTGTGAAAAATGACAACATTTTTATTCTATGGCGTATATATTTTCCCCTGAAGGACCTAGACCCAAAAAGTTGATAGTATGTTCAAGAGAAGTGGTTGACCTTTAAATTGATACCAATTATAGGGTCGTATGTACGCAGATGTGGGAGCTACACTTAAATATTTACAGGTGCTTACGTATTCAGACATTATTTAGTAACCCAAAACCACACTAGAGGGCGGAAATATAGCGCTGATCGCTTTGAAATGTTCAATGAGGATCCAGGTATGGTCAGGGATATCGGCTATAATTTTTGGTGAAGATCAGATACAATTTTTGGGATGAAGTGGACCGAAAACTTAATTTTTTATGTTTTTTTTTTTCGAGACTATCTATAGGCCACAATTATAATTCGAACATCACAACCTAACCCACGGCAAAGTGATTCTGGACAAGTACAGCCCTCGTCTACTGAATATTAGTAATATATGTTGACCTTTAGTCAGGTTTCCAGAGGGTGCAAATAACGCAAAGTTAGATTTTCGTGGAAGTTGTGTAGGGTATTATATGGTCGGCCCCGTCCGACTATACTGCTCCGCTCACTGGTTTTTAACTTGATTTTTGGAAAAAAAATCGGCGATTTTCCAAGAATATTTTTTCAAAGGTCCGCCATTTTGTTAATTTTAGAGCGAAGTCAATAATCCTAGTTCATACGAGAGACAGACATGTGCTCTTTCTAACACCGTTGGAATTTTCGGATTCCGATGTTCCGGTGGGGAGTTATCATGCCCGCCATGAAAAATAAGGACTTTTCTTTAATTACAAAAAAACAACAACAAAACAATAACAACAATTTTTTGTAAATTATTTTTCTTCTCTTTTAAATCTTCAAATATATATGTGCAAAGTTACAAACATTAACAAACATTGATATTGATTTACCAGCCCATTGAAAATCTTGAAAAATTAAAATCGAGAATGGTGGGGGGTTCCCTTAATAATATTTTCCAATTAAAACCCCCTCTGAACCGAAACTCTCCACCTCCTCCTCCTCATCCTGGTAACTCTTCTTTTGTTTCTAAATATTCTTTATATTTAATTACAACGCACATTTCTTCTCGAGTGTATATTTTTGCTAGTTTGTTTTCTTGTCTTGATTATTGTAGATGATCTCTGCTTTATATTTAGTTTTGTTTCTTTGTTTTTGGGGGGAATAATATTTATTTTCTCTCTCATTTTTTTTGTTAATTATTTTAACCTTTTTAAAATATTAATACATTTATTATTTAATTAAAAAAACTATTGGTTTTGTTTCTGTTTAAAACTTGTTTTGTTGGTTATAATTTTAGTTTTGGTTTTTTGTTTGTTTTTTTTTTCAAGAGGAATGAAAATCAGTCTCAAAGAAAATAAAAATTTTTTGTTGTTGTTGGGAATTAAAAAGGAATTGTTGTTGTAGCTGTTCACAAAATTGTTGCATTGTTGTTGTTAATAATAATAAAAATTATTATTTTTTTTAATGTTTAACCATCAGTAGAATAAGTCTAGACATGAAGCACATCCTTGGTATTGAAATGGACAAATAATAGTTTTTTTTTCTAAATACACCACCGTTTTGAAAAAACAAACCCTTTAATTTCCTTGGCCTAGAACGACGAGCCTATTTTAGGTTCTGTGAGAAACCCTTATATTTAAATATTCATTTACTTTAACTACAACACACATTTCTTTTCGAGTGTAATATTTTTTTCTAGTTGCCTGGTTTATGACTTGAGTTCTTTGTATTAAAACTCAAAATCAAACCCATGAATATTTGGGTAAATTCTCCTTCTAATTTAATCCGCATTTTGGCACTTCCAGTGCCCAATGGTCATGATCAGTGCCTTCACATAAGACCTAAGAGATTTTTTATTGATTTCAAGCAATATCCGGCTCATTAGAACTCTTTCATAGATTAGCTTATCCCGCAAGCCTTTTCAAAGACGAGAAGTACGGAAATAGTTTAGGTAGTAATTATTGCTGTTCTTAATAATAATAAATGTTATTATTTTTAGTTTAATCCTGCAAGCCTATCATAAGTCTTCCATAGATGGACTGAAATTAGATGCGGAAAAGGGTGACTTTTTAAAAACCTGGAACTTATTATTATTTGGAATGCCCAGAAGTTTTACCAATACCTCTTGTCCGGTCACCTTTTTAAGTGATCGAGAGAAGTATCAAAGAAAAGGTAATTAAAAATTGAAAAATCAATTCTGCTCCCATTTTTATCTCACACAATAATTTGCTATCACATTAAAAGATTTTTCTAAATCTACATGATATTCGGGCTATATAACCCTTTCTGTTCGGCTACTTTTTGTTTGTTTTTATTTGTGGTTTCCTACTTTACATCAACGTTTATATTATCGAAAATGGTTACAGGTTATGTAGTTCTATGGCTTATGTCTCACTGTCAAGGGAGTTTTTAAGTCAGGATTTATCAACGGATAAATTGTATTGAGTTTATGAGAGTAACTCTGGTCTCTCTCTCTCCCTCTCTCTGGTTCCCATTCTCGTTTAGATCGTTTTATCAGAAAATCTAAAGAGTTATTATTATTAGTAGATACTTTGTAATTCTTCATGGTATACCGTGAGATATTCTTATTGGAAGATTAAGCTGATTTCTAATTCAAAGACAATAAGATTTGATTATTTTCCTATTTTTTTCCTATTCCAAATTAAAGATGTCTTCTAATAAGAAGTTCCTAGAATCTTATTGGAAGTTCGTACAATATTCTAATAGGAAGTCTAAACCATTTTCTTAGGATTATCAATAAAATGTCCACTTCGATTAATTCAATAAAATGTGGACTTTTTATTAAAAACACAACAAAATATACCTTCTTCCTATTAGAGGATTTTTCCAATTCGAAGGAGGTCTTCTTATCAGAAGACAAATAATTATACTTATTAGAAGGCCATGCACAGTAGTCTTTCAAAATATGTACCTATTTTGAAAGACTACTATGCAATTTTATTGGAATATCATATGATTGTATTATTAGAATATCAATGAACAATTTTCGATTCGATTAATACAATAAAATGTGGACTTATTATTAAAAACAACAAAATCGCTCTTCTTCCCATTAAAGGATTATTAAGTTCGAAGGTCTTTTTTATCAGAAGACAAATAATTATACTTATTAGAAGGCCATGGAGTCCATATTTTGAAATAATATTTGTAATCTTATTGGAATATTGGAATATCATATGATTTTATTATTAGAATATCAATGAACAATCATATAGGAAGATTCCGGTAAAATAACTTATTTGGCATATTTTTATTAGAAAACCATGTAATCTCCCTATTAGAAAAACATGAACTTTTCCTATAAGAATAACAAATTGTTTACTATTTCGAAAAATAGGATGTCTTCTTATTGGAAGACAAATAAATAACCTTCTTATAAGGTCATAGGATTTCATATTGGAAGACTAATACGTATTCTTATTGACATCTTATCGAAAGAATTAGAGATTTCTATAATAAAATACGATTTGGGCTATTCTTATTTGAAGCCCAAGAAGACCTCCTATTAGAAGATCATGAACTTTTCATATTAGAATACCTAATAGTTTTTCATTTTGTAATATAAAACCATGGGGTCCTTCTTTTGAAAAATTACTATGTTTCCTTATTGGAATATCATAACATTGTCTTATTGGAATATCATAGAATAATCTTATCAAAAATTGATAGGAACTTCGTTTAAAATCCCAATCATTGACAATTAATTGAAAAAAATTCTGGTAAAATAACTCTTTTGGCACATTCTTATTAGAAAACCAAGTAATCTGTCTATAGAAAAACATTAACATTTCTTATAAGAATACCAAATTGTTTATTAAATAAAAAATAAAGGTGTTTTCTTATTAGAAGACAAATAACTATTCTTAGTAGAATGTCATTGAATTTCACATTGGAAGACTAAGACGAATTATTACAGACATTTTATCAGAATAATTTGAGATCGTCGTAGGAACTTCGTTTTTTAGAAAATCAAGCAATCTCTTTCTTAGAAGACCATGGACTATTCTTATTAAAATACCAAATTGTTTATTAATTCGAAAATAAGGAAGCCTTCTTATTAGAAGAAAAATAAGTATCCTTCATAGAAGGTCATATGATTTCTTATTGGAAGACTAAGACGTATTCTGTTTGAAAACGTAATAAAATACAATTTATAACATATCTGGGATATTCTTATTTGAAGTCCAAGAAGACTTCCTATTAGAAGGTTATAAATTCGTCTTATTGGAATACCTAATAGTTTTTTTCCATATATATATATATATATTAATACAAGATTTGCACTTGACCCCATATCCTTTGGAAGTTCACAAAGGCGATATCAAAGTAGACTTTCAAAGCCAAAGTCTAGAGACTTTCTTATGAGAATCTTCTTCTTTTATTAGGCCATGGACTTTTGAGTTGTTTACGGAAATGAACCTGTTTTTTCACTTTTTGGATTTGATTTTAAACATTTTTAAAAATCTCCCTCTCTCTCTCATTACTAATATTTTAATTTTCTCTCTCTAGGACGCTTTTAAAAATATTTACGGGTTTGATTCTTCACAACATATTTTTAAGTTACTGGACTATTATTCGCTTTATTAGTATTCTATTTTTTTTTCGTGTTTTATTTTTCACTTAGATCTTTTCGACCTGAAGTGAGAGACAATAGTTTTCATTCTCACCACTTTTAATATTCTCTCTCTCCGATTCTTACTCTCACTTCGTAGTTCAAACATTAATTTTATTTTTTAACACTCTCAGTTTTGTTAGATTCGTATTTTCCTTTTTTCAACATTTTTGGTTAAAATATACCCTATGAGGACCTAAAAAAATTAACAACCCATTTGTTTTCTGTATGTTAGTAAGAACTTCGTTCCAACCGTTTTATCATCTTTCAGAAATCTTCGTCTTATTGATCACTCAAATCATCAGAATCATGGAATTTCGGTGGTGGATCTACGCGTATATCTAGGCCACAGGCAAAACGTTCATATTCTATGGGTTCGGTTTCATAGTCGGATAGAAAATCCGGATATGGCAAATCGAGATCACGTACACTACCACTGGACGTGGTACCACCTGCCGCGCCACAATCTACAGATCTACTTGCAGTGCTGCTACCACTGCTGCTGGCGGCCGATTTATTCGCGGCAGCCGCTGCAGCAGCCATAGCCGCCATTGTGGAACGTTTAATGGTACCAGTACAGTGATAGAAACTATTATTACTATCCTCACTACTATTGGCCATATCATCAGATAGACCACCCTTCGTTTCAAATTCACTCTCTTCCGGATTACAATAGGAACGGCCATGATATTGCCCCGATGAACCGGAGCCATATGGTGCGGCGGAGGATTGGGACTGGGAACCCATTACCGAATCTTCACGTTTCAGTTGGCGTTTTTTGGTGCGAGCCGGTTTAATGGGTTGCCCAGAGGGTGGTGGCATGGGATGGTTGGCTGGTGCTGGTCTACTGCTACTACTACTAGCACTACTGCCGCCGCCGCCGGTGCTACCTCCTCCACCGCCTCCCTGGTGGTGGTGATGGGAGGAGGCAGCCGCAGCCGCCGCCGACATTCTCGTTTGTTGAAACTGATGCGACTGTTGCTGATATATGGGATTGGTGATGTGACTCAACCGATCGTAGCGTGGAAAACCCATTTCATCAACATTATCCGCCGTCATATCCAGACTCTCGAAGGCCGATGATGTTGATGAAAAGGCCACACCCGAATATTGCGGATAATCATCATATTCATCTGTTTCCTGTTCACGTTCCTCCAGCTCTTCGTCGAATTCATAGTATTCGCTATGTCGATAGGAAGGATCTGAACCTCCAGAGTCCATTTCGGGCATATAGCCCTCTGAACATTCGGAACTTTCCTGTTCAACGAGATTTCTCTCAGAAGATCGTACGCGCTTGGCGGTGATTTGGCGCTTTTTGCGATAGCCTCGTGTTCGTAATTTCGGATCTTGGGTGCGAACATCTACCGAGCTGTCGGTATCATTGCCACTGGGTGGTGACTTGATGATGGGTGCCGTGCGTGAAATTGAACCTTTGCGTGGTGGTTTTTGTATCAGCTGATTGGGTGGCGATTCGGAGCTGAGGCTACTCGAATAGTAGGGAGAACATTTGATGAGTTTTTCCGCTCGAGAGGGTAACATGGGTGAGGAGGTGGTGGTGTTGGTTTCATTACTCGTTGTATTGCCACTGTTGATGGTGGTGGTTGTCGTTGTCGATGTAAATGAGGAGGAGGTAGCTGCGCCTCCTCCTCCTCCGGTAGTTGAGTTTAATTCCTCATCTATACGAGAGGCCGGCATGGATTCGATCGATGATTGTTGAGACTGCGTGAGCATGTGCTCATGGAACGAATTCGATTGTCTGACTTTGTTGGTTTTGTATTCCCTGATTTGGGATTTGGACAGAGTTTTGTCGTCGTAACTGTGATGTTTGGCCAGGGGTTTTTCACCCGGTGGCCCAATTTCGGTTTCGGGTAAATCTGTGGGTGAGGTAATGGGTGGCAGGGGTGGTATGGGTGGTGGTGGAGGTTTGGCTTTTTTCAGCTCCTCAGCTTGTTTTTGTTTTTCAGCTGCGGCTGCTTCCTCCTCAGCTGCTGCCTGAGCCGCTGCAGCCTCAGCCACTCCCGGCTCTTTCATATGCCTAAGGAGGGCCTGCATCAAAGGTTGGGTTACTGACATTTTGGGTTTTGTTGGCTTGGGTGGTGGTTGTGGAGCCTTGGGTTTTGTGCCTCCCGCCTGAGGAGGTTGTGGTGCTTTTCCTTTCACCGGTTTTGGAGCTGTGGCAGGAGGTTGTCCCGGCGTACCATGTAATGGTACAAATTCCTGACTTTGATAGCGTTCAGTTAACTTTTCACTTGGTGCATATAGCCGCTCAACAAATGACTCACTTTCCGAACATAATTCCTGGCTTTGATAACGCTTCGACATCATTTCCAGAGAACGTCGTTTCCTGGCCGCTGTGGTCTCGGCCATATCATCTTTACCGGTGATACGTACCGGCATACCAGGACGAGCAGGTTCATTGCTCGATTTACCGGAGGTGGTAGACTTTTGGGCCAAATCTTCATTACTCATACGCTGCAGACCATTACTGCTGCTTCGTCGATGGATTTGGGGTAGGGATCCCCTCTTCTCCTCCTCATTTTTCTCACGACTTCCGGCCTTGTGGTACTTCAAGGGTTGGTAGTCAATGTAGCTTGCCCTGCGACCATTCATTTGATCATTTACATCACCCGGAGCTGGTCCCACCAGTGTTCGGCTACTTGAGGTGGACCACTCAGACATGGTCTGGGCCATTTCGGTCAAAGTGAGAGTGGTGTCATCACTCTTGGTAGCCGATGTGGTATCGGACATTTTATCCGTTTCCGAACTGGACAGCATATCATAGCGCAGTCCATCCGAAGAGCCATTATCACACAAACTTTCCGCCGATTTATTTATGGAACTTAAACTCGATCGAGTTTGATTGGATTTTTCCGATTTGGCACATGATAAATTCGACACTGCCGAAAGACTATCCGAGCCGGAAAGATTGGCATATTGCCTTACCGTATTGGTGCCGGTCGACCAATCGGATATACTCAATCCAATGGAAGTGTCTTCCGAATGAGAGCTATGAGTACATTTCTTTTGCATGCCCATGCGCACGGTACCATCCAAATCGGTGCCAATGGAACTGGTATCCTCCTCGGAGTGACTGGAATGGCTACATTTACGACAGCTGCCCGAACTGAGGCGATGTTCGTAATTATGTCTGACGGTGCCGGTGGTGGGAGACAATATGTCATCTATGGATGTGTCGGAGTTATTGGAGCCTCTCGATAATTTCCTTATGTATTCCTGGGTCTTGGTTTCATCAGGCGATAATTGGACCTTAATTGTGCCCGGCATAAATACTTCATCATTGGAGAATACCTCCTCTTCGGAGAGGGGTGACCTGGGTGCTGGGGATCTTGTGGGCTGTGCCATGATAACGGTTTCCGCACTCGAATCTTTCCTCAACGATGTAGATCTTGGTCCCTTGGGAGAGGATGAGGAACATGATACATTGAAGGAGTTCGATAGGCAGGTTGCAGCATTCAAGGTCGAACTCAAACATGTTGCAGCCGCCGTATCGTGCTGATAATCATCTGCCCCAAAATCTTTATCCTCAAAGGCAGAGGACATTAGGTAGGCGGTATCTTCATAGGGTATAACCTTGGCCATTTCAGGTGGTGATATTGGGAAATCTTCCAAAGACAGTTTATCCTCTGCCTCATCATCGGTACGCTCTGTGGTGGTAAAGGACTCTACCATTACTTGATCCGCCTTTTGGGCCTCCGAAGTGAAATAGGTTTCAATATCTTCCACAACGACTGGGGTCCCGGCGGCACTGGAAGGTGGTGTTGGCCAATCCTGGGAATCTTCTGAGGGAAATGACATACCAGCTTTCCAGCAGAATGATTTTGGTACCGGCTTATCCAAATCGGGTATTTCATATAGAGAGTCGATGGGTTTCACCGGCAC